CAGCATATGGGACCAGCACCTTACCCTTTTGAGCCACAAGCGCTGCCCAAAAGATCTTTTTTTTTTTTTTTATAAGAGAGGACAATGAATATCAAACTTAATCATGCTCACTTGCTCGCTTTCTCACATTTTTAAGACAATAGGGAATATTGCAATTGAATGGCTTTGTAAGAAATTTGGTTTTTTTCCACCTCCTTAAACATATTAAAAATACATATATTAGAAATTGTTAAGCCTCTTAAAAGATGTGATGTATTGTGTATTGCCAGAATCAGAAGATGAAGTAGAAGAGGAACAAGAAGAAAGGCAGCCATCTCCGGAGCCTGTGCAAGAAAATGCCAACAGTGGTTACTACGAAGCTCACCCTGTCACGTAAGAATAGCGTTTGAACTGAACTAGGTTGTCAGCAAAGTGGATTTTGTTTCTAGAATTACTGGAAGTAAAATTTTGATAAAGCTACCTATAATATATGTTCAGGAAATTTGGAAAGAATTGTTTTACTTAATTTAAAAATTAAACATGATTTGCACCACTACAGTGGTTAGTTACTAACAATGCAGAATATTTTAAAAATCAGTGAGCATCTTATTTTTATAAAAGATGTTTAAAGTTACCACTCAGGTAAACATTTTTAGTAACCTAGTTTTAAAATGAGGTTAAATAATTGCAGCTTGAGTGTTATTCCTTTGCTTCAGAACAATAGTATATAGTACAGGTTATTGGCATATAATTCGTTGTCTACATTAGATTAGAGATTGAATTGAACTAAATATTTATTGTAGTAATGGCATAGAGGAGCCTTTGGATGAATCCTCTCATGAACCTGAACCTGAGCCAGAATCTGAAACAAAAACTGAAGAGCTGAAACCCCAGGTTGAGGAGAAGAACTTAGAAGAATTAGAGGAGAAATCTGCCACCCCTCCTCCCACAGAGCCTGTTTCTCTGCCACAGGAACCACCAAAGGTCAGAGCACAGAAACTCTCACCTATAAGCACACTTTTGTGTTTGATGCCACTCATGAAGCATGACCTTTGTTCCGTTATGTTAAATTATTTAATATAGTTGAATGCTATGCTTTCTTATGTTTATGAAAGAAGCTGTGGGGGGGTTTGTTATCCTGAGAAAATTGCATTGTTCCCCACCCCGTACTCCTAAGAATGAAATATATAACTTAAGGTCAATCCTTGTCTGTATGCAGTGTTTAGTAATTTACATGAAATTATTTGGGTCCACCGTGTAAGGCTGTCAGTTGCTCTTTCATTCTGTATTAAATTCTCTAAGCACAGATGCACCAGGAGTCATGCAATTCCCCAACTTAAACAAGGTGGTCTGTAATTAAAAGAAGAGATACCTATGGTTTGTGGTTTAAATGGGATCAATTTCCGTGCTACACCACTTGAACTATCTTGGAATTATGAGTGACACCCTTAGTGTATAATGTAAGCCTATCTAAAACTTCTTTTGTCTTTCTGTAAAGTAGAAGGCTAAAGTTTACTTGGGTAGTGAGAGGAGGAGATTCCTTGTTCAATTAGTGAATGTCTGCTATAGTTTCCAGCTAGTAGTATTCTTTTCTTCCTATCCATTCCCTCTCCCCTTAACACCATCACACACCCAGTCTTACCCCCAGAAGGAAAAGAAATTGGTTTTGTTAGGTTCAGATTTTTCTAGCATGTTTTAGTTGTTAGTGATTTTGTTTGCCACTTGCTCATCTGCTTAGAGTGTGTAGGAACTTGCGTGTGGTTCTATTTAGTAGTGCAGACAAAACAATTATAAATAATCTTGCATAACGAGGTTTTGAAAGCTGGCACATAGACTGGCATGTGTGTGTGTGCCTTTCTTTTAGGAGTCCTTCAATATAGAGAAATAGTTTAGAAATGAAAATATATATTTGGAAATTTCCCTATAGGAATGTTGGTGGTTTTCCATGATTAGTAGTCTAGGTTTGTTGCATTTCCTGCAGGCTTTCTCCTGGGCTTCAGTGACCAGTAAAAACCTGCCTCCTAGTGGTACTGTTTCTTCCTCTGGAATTCCACCCCATGTTAAAGCACCAGTCTCACAGGTAACCAATCTGTGAACACATTGGATTGTATCCTTGTTACATTGCCAATTGCTTATTTTTTAAGTACTTTTTTTTAAATGAGTCAATCATAAATTATGGATTGAATATACCAAAAAATTGTATTAAATGTCAGTGCACCCACTTTAAATGCCAAATCTCCATTCATCATCTACATAGGTGGTATTTGGGGTTTGGGTGTGTGAAATACAGATTAAGTTGGTTTTACCAATATATAATATTGTTTACCAATATATAGTAGTAAAAGGCTTCTTAAAGTTACAAAAAAATGTTCCTTTTAAAAAAGATTGACATTTCATTTAGCAAAAAATATTTTAGATAATAAATTTGGAAAGGCACCAAAGTAGTGTGACATTATAAAAAATAAATGATTTTTTAAAAAACAAAACTTTTTTTGAACGTACACTGCCTAAGCTCTCAGTCTGTAAGTGGTTCACACCATTTAATTGAAGCCTGTACCAACTTATGACTGTAGCGTTCACCTTAATTGATCATTCCAGTATTCTGCTTTTTGTCTGTTTTGTCATCTTATCCATTTCAGAGCTTTCAAAAAATGTGAAAATAAGACACTGGCTACCTGAGATGTTTGTTAGGTGATATGATTTAGAATTAACCCAATTCTGGTTAAGTTTATAGGCATATGAAGGGTATCCAGTTCTTTTCCTTACATTTTGGGTTAAACTTCATTCCACTAGAAAATTTACATTAAAAATGTTAGTACGTGCCTCTTTTGTATGCTCTAAAAAATCAAACTTTGAGGTTTTAAAACTGAGTAGTAAACATTAGTCTTTCTGGTGTTGGTAGGGCACTGCAATCAGCTACATAAAATAGAGTACATGGTTGGGTCCCATGACACTTATTTTTTTTCACTTAGATATTTAGGAAGCAATGAGTGGTTACCTCAGATTATCAACCAGAGTTCTGTCTTAATGAAGGAAATTAGTTTCCCTGTTACTATTTGTGCTTTTCAACATACCTGAAGACTTGATAAATGATTTGTGATTTCTCCTTTGAAATCTTGATTTCCTGTCAGATTTAGATTTGGAAGCTTTGGATTGTTACTTCATTTCAGAGAGTTGGCTGCATGTATTTTAAGTAGTTAAAAGTTAAAACTTTTAATCCTATTTAAATGTTTATTATGCATTTAATATATGCCAAGCATTATGCTAAGCACTTTGTATTCATTCTCCTTGTCTTCAACTGCCTTGTCAGGGCAAGTACTGTTATTTCCATTTTAGAGACAGAAAAAATGAGGCCTAGAAGGACTTACCCAGGGTCAGATAGCTGTGTAAATAGTAGGACTGGGCTTTCCTTGCACTTGGACACCAGAGTCCATATGTGACTCTTGTAAACTTAAGTGTTTCTTAGTACCTTTCTGGAGAGTATTGTGTCTGTATTTGTATCAAAGAAGAATACTGTATTTAATGCCTACACTGCATTAAATCCTAGCCTCTTGCTTGGGAAAATAACAATTTTTATATATCCTAAGTAATTCTTTTAAGTTTGGAATATTTTTGAAGCTATTTTTTAAGTTGTAGAAAACTGGCTTGTACTTTCTACCCAAACCCTTTATTAAAGTAAAAATTCTAAATGTTTAAAACTTAAAGAACTTATGACCTCTTTAGGTCATACTTAAAATGCATACGTGATATCTCCACTTAATAATCTTACAATTGTTATTTTGCTACTTCTGTGTAGTATTCATTTCCTTATAGTGTTAATTTAGATTACTGATAAAAGGGAATTACATCTGATTTTTAGGGTATTAGTTGACATTAATTTAGCAGTAGGTAAGTTAATATCTTGGTAAAAAGGTTTTGTCGGGAAATTGACTTAATAGCTTATGTTTCATTGAAGGACTTGTTTATTGTCGTTATACCTGCTTTATTGACTTGATTTCATTTCATTTTCTAAAAGATATTTTGTTTTACCTTCATTTGTGGGATTTGTCATGTGATCATGCTTTTCTGGTTCGTGGAATTTAAAGGCCCTAAGTAGCGGTATAGTAGCCAGTTATCCATAGAGTAACTAGTTTGAATCATGCACTTGGGCCTGAAGAATTTTAAGTACACAGCTTGCTTAGTTAGCATGTGTTGAATCAGGTATTTGAAGGGATATTGTTAGCTTTTGGCTCTGATTTTCCTTGCACTATCATCGTCATATATCTACTTGAAGTCAAGTTGCTAAATCATTGGTATAAATTATTTGTAAAATGTAGGAGATTATTTAAATTCATCTGCTTTTAATTTAATCCCTGTAAGGATAAGGAGAAACTTTTTTATTTTGCTATTTATGATTACTTCTGGATATCTGGGGTGGCGGGTTGGTTCTGAGGTTTTGTTTTGTTTTGAGACATTTAAAGTTTTACTCTGTCACCCTGGGTAGAGTGCCATGGCGTCATAGTTCCCAGCAACCTCAAACTCCAGGGCTCAAGCGATCCTGTAGCCTCAGACTCCTGAGTAGCTGGAATTATAGGTACCCACCACAAGGCCTGGCAACTTTTAGAGGCAGGGTCTCCCTCTTGTTCAGGCTGGTCCTGACCACAAGTAATACCTGCTTCAGCCTCCCAGAATGCTAGGATTACAGGCGTGCCCGGCCTTGGATATCTGTTTTGAAAAGCACTTAAATCAGTGAAGGCCAGGAACTCAAGTTGTTTGGTAACATTTGCATTGGATGAATCTCAAGTTTCTCTGCAATTTTTTAAACAGGATACTCTTGCTGTTTGTTTCTCTTAATTACCATTAATACATCAGCTTCACTAAAGTTTAAATACAGTATCAGAATTTTATCTATTCTTCTGTTTCATGTGCATACTGAAGCAAGATACGCTTTTATACTGACTTAGTTTAAATTCCTAAATAACCGCCGTCAGGCATCACATTTTGTATCGAATTAATGTAGCATTAAACTTCTAATACAGACAGCGATAGGCCTAGAGACATCACTTAGATCTCTTTGTCAGGCATACATACTTGCATTTTTGGGGATCAGAGGAGTAAAAATGTAATTTAAGATTAAATGAACCAGCAATTACTGAACATCTGTATCTAATAACACTGTGCTTTGTTCTTTGAGTGATGTAAAAATGAATTTTAAAATGGGCCTTATAGGAATAAATACATATAAATAAACTGAAAGTTAAAATTTTTATTTTTTGATTAGCAGAATTCTAGAATACAGGAAGCAATTTTATCTTGAGGGAAATGGGACCATCTCCATAGAGGCAAACATTTTAGGAAGAGGCAGGCCAAACCGTTAAACTTCTAGCTTAGAAGTTAATATACCTCGTGGTTACAGTAGTTGAAAATCATTTGCAATAAATTGTCATTTTTGAAGAAAGCATTTTTGTATTGCATTTTTCCTTGCAAATTAAAATATCTGAGTTATATAAATGATGAAAGAATTTGAGCCACTGCTTAGACTGTGGTCTTCAGAAATGGTCCCTTTTAAAGACAAGACTGAAATTTCCAGGTTTCTGATTTTGAAATATGTTCATATCCTGCTGGGTATTTTTAACATCTTTTGAAGCTTCATATCTTTTGTCTCTTCCTTGGACCATAAGTATTTGGGCAATAGAAGGTCTGAAGAGGCTGGAAATACTGAAAATGCTGTTGTATTCAGGAAAGGTAATAGCAGAAGTGGATATCGTTTCATTTTAAAAAGTTATTTTAGTACATGTGGTTAATTCAGCAGTTAGCAGAAACTTTTGGAAGGCATCTTAAAATGTTTTATTACTCCCCCATCCCACCCCATCCATGAAATTGTTGGGGTTAATACTTTATAAATAAATGCACATCTTTCTTGTAAGGAGCTAAAGGACTTTTTGGCTGCTTGAGATGCTGCATACAAGTTCTTACAAGCTTTGTATCTTTTTAACATGCATTTAAACTTAAAGGTAGCACTTTTGGGTGCTGAGAGTAAACTATTAAAATATTGATTTTAAGATTATGGGGTTTAGAAAATATTATTGAGTACTGTTACATTGGAAGGGCAGAAAACTAGATATTTAGGAATTATGTGTCATATATTCTTGTCTAAGACAAAAATGGCTTTTAATTTTTTTATTTATATGGAGCAGCTCATCTTGCATTTTTGTGGTTTTTGTAGCAATACCTTTTATACTGTGTTAGTGTTGCTATAACTTGAATTGCTTGAATGAAAAAATGTAATTATAAAAACCCGCTTATTGTGAGTTACAGAGCCTTGAATGGGAACACAAAACCTACCCTACAGTCCTAGATTGGTACAGAATATCTTTGTAAAAATTTCTTTTTCACATACGTAGGACACTATGTTTAAAACATTTCTAAACTTAAAATTACCATTATGCTTGCTAGTGACTTGTTGATAGTTTACTTTAGTTGGTTTTCATATTTTTTTTATAATGTGTTTTTTCCCTTTTAGCCAAGAGTTGAAGCAAAACCAGAAGTTCAGTCACAGCCACCTCGTGTGCGCGAACAACGGCCTAGAGAACGACCTGGTTTCCCTCCTAGAGGACCAAGACCAGGTGAGTCAGCCCCTTGTGCCCTTTTTAGCGTTTAGTACTTATAATGTCAGAAAAGACAACTTTAAAGAAAATGTATTTTATATGTAAATCTGTGGTATCAAATTGCTTAAATTTGTGAATTACCTGCACAACCAAATTTAAGGGGAGGATTAGTTGAAATGCTGCGGACACATGTATTTCCAAGGTATAAAAGGCTTTACAGACAAGTTTTCTTTTATTTATTGTCACTGGTCTTAGGAATTCAACACCTAGCTGCCAGTAAGCTAACCTACTCTCATACTTAGCACTCTTATATCTTTTCACAGATAAATACTAAGCACACCCTGATTCTTCTTATTTTGATTGTCTTAGGTATTAAGTAAGTTGTCATGATTTTTGACTTATTTATATTGTTAGCTAATATTATATCTGGTACCACTATTTGAAATCTATAACAATGTTTAGATTGCTTTTGGAAGAAGGTAGAAGATAGTTTATATCAAATTTACAGTGTTATTATTCCCCCAAAATAAGTCATGTTGCTAAGCCAGAAGTCCTAGTTTAGCCACTGTTTGAATTTATGATATTGAGTGAAATCCTTAATTCTGAACTTTTATGCTCTTCAGTTACTAGACAGATTTTTCTTATGTGATATGTATTTACCTCATCGTTCCTTGGATTTTGTGTGTGTGTGTGTGAGAGAGAGAGAGAGAGAGAGTGTCCTAATGTGAATAAAAAACTACGTAAATGAGATATTATTGCTGTTACAATTTACTGATTTGGCTACAGTGTCATCATACTACCAAAGATTATGTAATTTGTGACTTTCAAAAGACAAAGACTAAGCACATTTTACTAGAAATATGCCTCAGTATCTGGTTAGTTCATGGTTGGTGGTAAGTTTGGTTAAGGAGGATTACCTGTACTGTTATTTGACTTTTGTATAATCAGGCCAGTAGATCCATTACAGAAGAAAAGATGTTAGCAAGCGATTTAATAGCCACCCTGTCGTGTTACACATACTGTCTTCTAACTGCCTGATAATAGGCACTTCTGCCCCCTTTTCAAGGAGCTCACCTGGTCTTATTAAAGTAAAGCAAGAGTATCAGTGTTAAATGATTTTTTTACATTCATTGCTTTGCACTAGTTTTTATGTGATATTGTAAACACTAATATCTGCTCCATGTCTATTCTCAGGTAGAGGAGATATGGAACAGAATGACTCTGACAACCGTAGGATTATTCGCTATCCAGACAGTCATCAACTCTTTGTCGGTAACTTGCCACATGATATTGATGAAAATGAACTGAAAGAATTCTTCATGAGTAAGTGGTTTATTTTGCTTTTTAAAAAGATTAAGCCGAAGGCATATAGAACTTTTTCATAACATAATTGATACTTTAAAAAGGTAGTGTCCAACTACCTTGTCACCTTAATCACAAAGGAGTAGATTAGATACAGTATCTGTCAGTGACTCCTATGTACTGACTCAGCCATGGTCGGTAGAGTAGAGGCAGGAAAAAAACAGCTGGATGAATCAGTGTTCAATTGAGAGATGGGACTCATTTGACAAGTGATTCATATTACTAGTTTTATTAGTTTTAGACTGTGTTTTTTCTAAAAGTATTCAGTTAACTTTTCCTGTGGAAAGGCTGATGGGTAGGAGAAAGGTAGTAAAACAGGCAGTCCAGCAAGGCGGTTTGGTATCTTAAGTGGTCACCTATCAGGGACGTCCAACCTGAGCACCACATGCTAATTTTCTGATGACATTTTAGCTTATCTGTAGTGTCAAATTATGCATGGACCATTTTTGTGGTAATCAGCTTTCTTTAGCATTTGTATGCTTAACGTGTGGCCCAAGACAAACTTGATTTTTTCCAGTGTGTGGGAGAGGGGGAAAAAAAAGGTTGGACATTCTTGGTGCGTGAATGGATGTACTTCAGCTATCACTAGGCATAGCAGCTTTTATTTTTCAAGTGTATCAAGGAGATAAAAGTTATGCATCCTGAATAATTAAAACCATCAAAATAGACTATTAAAATACTTAACTTTGGTGTAATGTATATCTTCACAGGTTTTGGAAACGTTGTGGAACTTCGCATCAATACCAAGGGTGTTGGGGGAAAGCTTCCAAATTTTGGTTTTGTGGTTTTTGATGACTCTGAACCAGTTCAGAGAATCTTAATTGCAAAAGTAAGTGATTTAAAGGGCATAATTCAAGAATTTATTATTTCTGTTGTATATAATATTAACTTGATATATTTAAAAGTCACAGAAAAATTTGTTTTTAATGGTCAAGCTAAAAATAGTTAATTATGAAATGGTATTTATGCAAAGAATAAAGTTATTAATTTTATTATTTTATTTTATTTTATTTGTTTGAGTCAGAGTCTCACTGTCTTGACTCAAGCTATAGTACCTAGCTCACAGCAACCTCAAACTCCTGGGTTCAAGCAATCCTCCAGCCTCAGCCTCCCAAGTAGTTGAAACTATAGGTGTGCACCACCATGCCCAGCTAGTTTTTCTTTTTTCTTAGTAGAGAAGAGATCTTGCTCTTGTTCAGGTTGGTCTCAAACTCCTGAGCTCAAGGAATCCTCCCACCTTAGCCTCCCAGATTGTTAGGGTTATAGGTGTGAGCCACTGCATCCCTCCATGATTTAGTAATTTTTTAGTCTTAAGATGTGGATTCTTTTAGATTACATAATAGCTGTATTGAAGGTTGAAAAGATTGCTTGTTAAGAATGTCATGAAAGTTTTATTTTTAAGACTTTCTAACTTATCTGTGCAGGTTAATAACATTTTTATTGCTGTCTAACCTGCTATGTAAATATTTTTCTCCTCTTTCAAAGCCAATTATGTTTCGAGGGGAAGTACGTTTAAATGTGGAAGAGAAAAAAACAAGAGCTGCAAGAGAGCGAGAAACCAGAGGTGGTGGTGATGATCGCAGGGATATTAGGCGCAACGATCGAGGTCCTGGTGGCCCACGTGGAATAGTGGGTGGTGGAATGATGCGTGATCGTGATGGAAGAGGACCTCCTCCAAGGGGTGGCATGGCACAGAAACTTGGTTCTGGAAGAGGAACCGGGCAAATGGAAGGCCGCTTCACAGGACAGCGTCGCTGAAGCTCCACTGTTGGTCTGCAGAGTCTTGGCAGTGGTACATTATTCATCGTGTTTGCATTCTTGTTAATTTTTTTTGGCTTTGGAATGTGACACAGCCTTTTTGATCATTTCTTTGATGTGAAAAGCATCTTTTGGTTATCAGTTAAATTGAGGTGGACATTATTTCCCTAATTTCACAACAGGATTCACATTGTTAATTTATAAATCTAGACTTGGAAAATTAAGGACTGAAAAATGACCATATCTTAAACTATCTACAAAAATGAACTTAAAAGGACATGCCCACTGAATTCAGGTCCTTTGAGTCAAAAAAAAAAAAAAATCTTCTGCTGCACATTTTGTTTAAGTGTTACTGTTTCTGCCTGTTAATGTTGGAAACACAAATAGTGCGATTTGTGCAATTGGAGAATCTTGCCTTTTTTCTTGGCTCCCCCCAAAAATACAAACCAACCAGAAACTTGTTATGCACTCATCAAAATGCACTAATGGGTACTCTGAACTCATTAACATGACATCTGCAACAGGAGGCAACAGGGGAAAAAAATCTTTCATCTTTTCCAGTAGAGAATAGTTTGTGAAACGATGAGGGCATTTTATCTGCTTGCTGTGACCAGCGTGTGTACACATAAACCTTAACAAGACTACAAGTATATTCCAGAAGGAAATCATTTAGTTACGAACTAAATAACAAAAATCAGAACTTCAAATGCTTTGGTCTTGAATATTAGACCAGATTTAGTCGCTCCCTATCTAAGATTTTCTACCTGCCCTATTCAGTACAGGGATGGCTGGCTGCTCAGCACACTCCTCCCCCTTTCCTTTCTTTAAGCTGTGTACAGTGAAAATCGTCTTTGCTGTATTTTCGTTCTCTGGTAATGTAATAAGCATGATGGTGCCTTCTATTAATACATCATTCCAGTCTCGCTGGTAATTTTGTACAGTATAGTGTATGAATCGCTGTGCTGCAAAGCCAAACAGCTGCAAAATGTTGAAAAATCATTGAAGTGTATAAAAATTGCAGTATCTTTAAAATCAGTAAAATGGACTAGCATATTATTTATCTTGTTTTTCAGTCAACAACTTTGTGTTCTCTTGGGAGGGGGGAGTCGTGTGTGTTTGGGAGGGAGAGGGAAGGAGGAAGTCAGTTATTTGAGTAGGTCTCTAGTTGACTTTTCTCCCAGCTTGAATGTGAACGTTGACACGTGTCACTTCAGTGCTTGGAAAAGTCAGTCTACATCACGTACATTTTTAGTGACATTTTAAAAGCAGTCAGATTCCTTAACTGACATGTAAACCTAAGGTGAGGATACTGCAATTTTCAGAGAAAAGAACAGCAGCTCTTAAGTGTTTGCATTTTCTATTTGGGGGGCAGGGAACTATCATTCATTTTGCACAATTCTTGAACTGATGTCAGCACCCGAGTGGCTCCTGAATTTAAGTCTGGGACGACATCTTTTATTTTTACATGAATCTTTAAACAGTTCTGTGAGCAAAGTTTGTAGCTGCTGAATTATTGTCTGTCTTTTTAGCAAGTTCCGATAAACCACAAGAATGGCAAAGCTTATCCAATTTTATGCTTGGAGCAATCAGTATAAACCAGTTTCTGATGTTTCAGGCAAGAAGCTGGGTAAATAAGTGTGACCACTTAAAGCTGCTTGTTAGCATGGAAGACTTCTCCATTCTATCTTAAACAAAATATGCACTTGACATGGTAGCAAATTGGTTCTGAATTATGCAACTGTTTGCTATTTAGTAAACTAGCAAATGATGCACATTTTGTTTTTCACGTGCTGGGCAGTAAAAGTAAAATTAAATCTTTCCCCCTTCCTTGAATGAGGTCTTCCATGTTTGAGGAAAAGTCTTGCACTATTGCATATATTCGGGGGACACAGATTTTCATAGTTTCCATTTTGGGGAGGCGTAAAGATTTTTTTGTTTGTTTCAAACAGTTTTATACTTTCTGATGTATAGTACTTGAAATTCTTAGCAGGAAATTACTTTGGAATTTCGAAGCCTTTATTCAGACTACATTTAAATAAGTGATTGTTTTCTTGTCATTGTTCTTTTTCCCCCAAGTGTATTTTTTCTCTATTCTATTTCATTGTATATGTGTGTATGTATATACACACATAATATGTGTGTATATATGTATATATACACATATATATTCGTGTATATATATATATATATGTATACGAATATATATATAAAATTTCCGGTCGGGGATATTGCCCTGCCACCCATGAAAACCATTCTGGCACCAAAAGTGATGACAAATGTTGAGTGTAATTGAAAAGCAGAGCAAAGAGCCGTTCAGTGTCAGCCTTTACCACACCACGAGTAAAACATTAAACATCATGTGGAGAAGTTTACATGGTGATCATTCACCTGCAGTACTGTGGACTTTTAACTTTTCGTCCCCTTTTCAGTGAAACAGAGTAAAAATATTCATCTACCATTACTGTTATTTGCTGATTTTATTTTATTTTGATGGTAATATTCTATCCTTATGACACTATTGCAACCAAATTGGCTTTACCATCTTGGCTTTAGTAGGTATAGAAGACAATGGATTACCATCTTTATTGCTGTAATGTGTTAAGCATTATATGCTAGTAGAACCTAGTTTAATTGTTTCAGGTGGAGTATTCTTTGAGTTTCCATTTTGAATGTGTTTGGACTAAACAAACAATAAACTACTGATGTCTGCAGCATTTATCTATGTCCCTAATTTAATCTGTAGCTCTCATGTTCCCAAATGTTTTCTTCCACTTGCTTTTCATACAGTCTATGTGGAAATAAGAAATTATTCTAAAACCAGCTGCTTATTTGTCAAATTTGATGTATAAAATAAAACATTTAAGTAAATCAAACATTGTTAGAGATCTATTCCAGTCTAGTTAGATACCTGATACACAAGTTGAATATTAGAACACAGTAATAGCTGATAAGGACAGTGAAAATGATCTAAAGCAACTACTAAACACTTTTTCTACATCATCTTGGATTTTCTAAAGGATTTCTACTTTGTATCTCAATGAAACAAGAAAGGAAAGGATGAGAAGATTATGGTTATCTGAAGTTACAGACATGACCTAAGTTAAGAAACTTATCAAGCACTACAAGAAAAGGAAAAAGTAGTCATATTTAGTTGTGCTTTCAGTAAGAAATGAGGTACCAACAAATATGTAATTTTAGAACTTAAAACTTTTGCTTCTTTAAAGGGGATAATAGATGAATTTTTCTTGGTAATATATTCATAAGACTTTAAGATTCCTAAATCTTCACAAATTTGTGTGGGAGAGAAGCCAGAATAATCATTCTTAAATATTCTCAAGGAAGTAAGACTTAAAATTGTTGTAAGTGGGCTTAGCACCTGTAGCTCCATGGTTAGGACGCTGGCCACATACACTAGGGATGGCGGGTTCAACCCTGGCCTAGGCCTGCTAAACAACAATGACAAATACAAAAAAAAAAAAAATAGCCAGGTGTTGTGGAGGGCACCTGTAGTCCCAGCTACATGGGAGGCTGAGGTAAAGATAATCAACTTAAGTCCAAGAGTTTGGTTTTGCTGTGAGCTATGAAGTCATGGCACTCTACCAAGGGCAACATAGTGAGACTCTTCACCTAAAAAAAAAAAATTGCAAGCGTATATTAAGCTTACTTTTAATTACAATTATAAAAATGTCGGACTTTATTGGCTACGGTAAAATAGTTTTTAAAGGAGATAAAATGTACCCACACTGTTGAAAATAGACCCAGATTTGAAAAAGCAAATTATTACTTGGTCCAGGAGATGTATACAGAACAAAATATCTGAAAACAACCAATTCAGGAGGTTGACTTGCTTATCCTAACTACAATTCAGTAAAGGTGCTTGATTTTCAAAAATTCTGTTAAAAGGACTTTCTGTTTATTTATTAGCAGTTTGTGTTTTGATCAGTTTGATGCTAGAGTTCTAGTTTATTTTAAATACTAGATAAGTGAACAATAAAGTCATGAAAGAAATTTCCTTTTGTGGTAGGTTTCAGTAGGTTTACATAGAAGTTTAATTGTTTAAAACCATTTGCAACATTCAGTGAAATCTTTAATTTGAAGTTACTGGTTTTGACAAATAGGAATGAAAATCTTCAAATCTGTTAGCATATAAGCACATTATATTTAATGTGCTTCATAATTACAAGAAGTAAAATCTATTTTTAGCATTACCAAATAATTGGGTAAAACACTATTAATACAGATTCAGAATTAAGCATAGATTTTTAGCCTTTGTTAATCACCAAATTAACTGATCTTTACCTTTGACCTCTAGAGTTTTGATAAAGCCGGCTCCTTTTATTATGGGACATTAGTGTTATTCTTCCCACAAGCTTTCTCTGGGTGGTTTATTTTGGCCATACATTACCTTGGTTTTAATACGCAGTATATTATCCATTCAGTAAATTCAGTAAAATGATCTAAAGCAACTACTAAACACTTTTTCTAAATCGCCTTGGATTTTCTAGAGGATTCAGTAAATTCCGTATAGTACATAATAGTCGAGACCAGGACTTTGGAGACAGCTTGGGCTTGAATGGCAGCTCTGCCACACCATCTGTGCCTGTTCCCTCATTTGTAAAATGAGATGAATGATTGTGAGGAGTCTGTGTGTTAACATTTAAAGGACTTGAAATACTGTCCTCGCTGTCAGTGTTAGCTGTTAATCACTATTGAGTCAGTTGCATTTGTACTGTGTACCTACCCTCCGTTTCAAAGGTATCTTTTATTAATCCTTTTGGCCATATCCCCTTTGAAGCACAAGATAATTCAAAGTGAGAAAGTCTAAAACAAGTGTATTTTCCCTACGTGACTGACTTAATGTATACTTGTCTCTATAGTAATGAACATCTCCATTTTCTATATATATTTCAACAGCCTAGAAATTGTTGGTGTTTCATCTGTTAACCCGGCATTCTCTTTATTAACCTCCCTTTATTGTCCATTTTCCAGGCTTAAAAGACTTACTCATATTATTCTGATAAAACTTACACTGGTCCACTGGCTCATTCAATCATTTGTTAACGATTTTGCTTCAAAATGCCAGGCACTGTTCTAGGTACTGTTAATAAATGGCAAATTAGGCCAGGCATGGTGGCTCACACCTATAATCCCAGCACTTGGGAGGCCAAGGTGGGTGGATTGCTGACCTCACAGGTTCAAGACCAGAGTGAGACCCTATCTCAAAATTAGCTGGGTGTTGTGGGCGCCTATAGTCCTAGCTACTTGGGAGGCCAAGACAAGAGGATTGCTTAAACTCGAGAGTTTGAGGTTACTGTGAGCTAAGATGCCACGTCACTCTAATAAGGGTGACCAAGTGAGACTCTGTTTCAAAAAAAAAAAAGGCGAATTAAATAAGATTCTCTGCTCTTAAAAAGGACTGGGAGGCCCTATGGTGAGAATGAGTTAGGTACATAATTAAGAAGGTAGCTAAGGGGCAGACAATAAAGGGTCTGTTGTCCTCAAGGAAGTAGATCTTTGTCCCAAGAGCAATAGGAAGTAGTCGATTTTTTGGCAGGTGGGTAGGTACAATGGGCAGTAATGGTGGCAAGATTTCTACTATGAAATGTCTAGGTACAGAGTAAACAAATTGGGAGTTTAATAATAAATTGGAGTGAACCAGGTAAAAATGATGTATTTCAATTGAGAGCTATGATAGAGTGGCAGCATTAGAAATCCGAAGAATTAGATGGATTTGAAGGATTTGAAAGTAAAGGTAAGACTGCCAGGTCCTGGTGGGGTGAAGGTTGTTATCAAAGAAGAATCTCACTTGGATAACTCAAGAAGTAGAATAGTGTGTGAATGATTGGGAACACGGGAGGAATAAAACTTTGAAGGAGGGGGCTGAGGAATGCTAGGAAAATCACCTATGGGATTTATGAGCTGGGCTTGAAAAGATCAGGTCAGCTAGGAGTGTATGTATGAAAGCTCAGGTCAGCTAGGAGTGTACGTATTTTGTGCATTGTGTTTGATTCTTTTGGCTTGTGCCTTTTTATTTTGAAAACAGTACATGAATACTT